TGTCAGCCTCTGCCCAGCGCCACCGAGCGGCTGGGGACCAGCCGAGCCAGGCAGAGCTGCAAGGCAGTCAGGACCTGGAGAACGCCAGGCCCCGTGGCAAGGCCCCTGACGGGCAGGTCTCTGGCGCCCGGACCCGGCTCCCGCGCACCCAGTCCAGCGTCGAGGCAGAAGCCAATGCTCAGAACGTGGAGCGGGCCCTCCTGACCCCGTTTAAAAAGGACTTTGAGTTCATGTGGGATCGTCTGGAGGCCGGCCCCATGCTGCTGAAGATCAAAGACCTGGACTTCTCAGACCTGGGTGAAGAGGAAGATTTTGATGCCTTAGAGCAAGGGGCAGTAGGAAATGACTCTTTCCATGTGCCTCCTCCACCACCTCCTGGCACTGGGGCACTGACTGCAGGAGGCCTCCTGGCTCCCCCACCACCACCACCCCCACCTCCTAGCTGTCCCCCACCCCCCGGCTGTCCTCCGCCCCCACCACCCCCTGTTCCTGGCTGCCCACCCCCTCCTGCGTTGCTGGGCCCCCCTGCGCCAGATGGCCGTTCCCCTGCCAAGAAGAAGAAGACGGTGAAGCTCTTCTGGAAGGAGCTGAAACACCCCAGTTCCCGTGCTGGGGCTGGCCGGTTTGGCCAGAGCACCGTGTGGGCGTCCCTGGAGAGAGTGGAGATTGACGCGGCCAAGCTGGAGCATCTCTTTGAGTCCAGAGCGAAGGAAGTGCTGAGTTCCAAGGTATGCAGCAGGTCGGGGGCCAGCAGGCCAGTCCTGACAGCCTGCAGTGGGTGTTGGGGCACTGTGGGGTGTGGCCCGAGCGCTGGCTGCCGTGGCATGCAGGGCTCCCTGGGACTGGCGGGTGTCTCAGGCCCGTAGAGGAATATTGCTGGTGCGTGGGAGAGGCCCAGTGTGGAGCAAAGGCCTGGATTAGCTGGGTTTTCCTTGTCGCTCCCTTTCTCGTAGTGTCAAGAGGAGGATGGTCCTGCTGGACTTCCCGGAGCCTGGGGGGGGGGTCACTGTCCCGGGCCCACAGTCCGAGCGATGCTCAGACACTGCACCCCGGGAGTGGTTCCTTTGGTTTGGTGCGTCGAACGTCGTAGGAAAGCGCCCTCCTGGGTCATGGATCCCGTCCCTGCTGGCACACGCAGCCTGTGGACTAGTAGCCCTTTGCGGGGAAAGTGGAGTGAATTCAGTTTGTCAGTTCCACTGGAAGGTCTCACCGAACCCTCCTGTCTGTGACTGGTCCCCTGCTGGTAGCATCCCAGCTGCCTTCCCAGGGCCGTGCTGGTCTGCACTGCTAAGGCAGCCCAGGCTTGAGGGTGGGAGACGGGGTGGAGGGCAGGGCAAAATCCAGGTTTGCCACATGCAAAAAGATAAACCCAGGAGCAGACCGATTCCACGTTTTCTCCCAGGGTGTAACAGCCGCCCCAGCCGAGTGTGCGGTCCGGGGAGGGAGGATTGTGTGGCTTCTCAGAGGAGCGTAATTATACCACGAGAGTGGAGAATGAAATTCAGCTCTGTTGGAAGTGAGCTAGTGGATCCAGGCTGCCCTGCACAGCCAGATCCTGGCTCTACAGGACCCATTACAAGCGACGTTTCTGTAGCAGACGGTCTGTCTCCATGGCTGGTACCCAGTTTGGGGTGCATGCCGCTATTTCTTGGTAACTGACCCCAGAGAGAGGGTCCACTCTTCCTTGGGGCCAGTCGAGCCCGGGCACGTTAGTGTCCCCTCACTGGAGAGAGAAGGGGCCCCGTCTCTCCAGGCACAGCTCGTCTTGCACCTGTCATGGCCAGTAGCATCTCTGACAACCCGAGCCCAAGGAGGTGCTGGAGATGCTGGCTGTAGTGAAAGTGCAATAGCTCTGCTGTGACCCCTACCAGCGTGCAAGGCCGTGCTCTGAAATTGCAAGTTCTGTGGGGTAATCTCCTCACCCACGGGGGTCAGGAAGGACCTTACTTCTGGGGATAGCACTGCACCATGGCCTGGGTGCATGGGAGGGTGGTGAGGTGGAGCTGCCTTCACCGGATCCTCTGTGTTGGCGCTGATTTGAATAGCTCAATGGCCTGCCGGGGAAATGTGGCTGTGTTTCAGGGTAGCCCGTGCGCTCCTAACCTGCCTTTCGGCCCCTTTTCTTCCGTTTCCCATTGCGCCCCCCCCCCCCGAAGAAAGCTGCTGACGGGAAGAAGTGCACGGTGATCCTCGACCCCAAGAGGAGCAATGCCATTAACATCGGCCTGACGGTGCTGCCGCCCGCTCACATCATCAAGACGGCCATTCTCAACTTCGACGAGTTCGCCATTAACAAAGAAGGGATTGAGGTGAGGCTGCAGCGATTCCTCCCACGAGCCGTTTCTGGTAGTAAATGTTTCCGAGTAAAGAGCAGATGAGCTCCAGCCCTGGAGGGTCACCCTGCCCAAAGCGCGTCTCAATCCGTACTGGGTTTCTCCTCAGCACCCCTGTCTCTTGTCCCTGCCGTGCACAGAGAGGCTAAGGGACTGGCCCAAGGCTGTCTGTGGCAGAGCAGGGCGTTGAACCGTGTCCACTAAGTCCTAGACTAGTGCCCGGACACTGGACTGGCTCCTGGAGAGGCCAGCCGTCCTCCCTAGCCTGCAGTGTTCTCCGACAGCACTCCGGCTCCAGGGCTGCACAAGCCACGCGGGTTTTCACAGACCTGCACAGCCCAGGCCAGAGCATTTCACTGTGTGGTTCTGCCTCGCCCCAGCACCCTCTGGAGCACAGCTCTTAGAAAGAGAGGCCCAGGTTTGATTTAAAGGCTGCAAGGGACAGGGAATCTGCCCCAGCGCTAGGTCACCTGTTCCAAAGCTTCATTATCTTCACTGCTAAAAAGGTGCACCTGATTCCGGTTTGGCCAGCTTCCAACCACTGGATCTCCTTCAGTTTTTATCTGCTCGGCTAAAGAGCCCTCGGGTGTCAAAATCTTCTCCCCATTGGCCCAGGAAGCCGCCCATCCAATATTCTGCTAGAGGAGCCTTAAATACCTTAAATAATTATCCTGTCATTCCTTCAGGACGTGGGCAGGGTGACTCCCAGGCCCAGGCCCCAGCTCGGCTTCCCCGTAGTGCATTTCCGACACGGGAAGGGAGTGCTGGGGAGAAGCAGCTGCTGTTAGTAGTGTGGGAGCTGGCGCATTGTCTTCCCCAGCCTGTGGATGTTGCTGTGTTGGAGAGTGAGATTCCGGCACAGGCCCTGCGTTGTTCTTTCCTGACATCCCTGTGTGACAGTCGCTGCATCTAGATGCTGGGTGGGCAGCCCCCGCGCATAGCTGGGTATTTGTGGGTTCCTTGCAAATAGCGTCTACCCCAGGCTGGCTGACCGGTCTCTCCCGGCCCTTCTCCAGCTCCAGAGTTCATCTGATCTCATTGCATTTTGGTTTTGCCCTGGGCTTGGCCCGTGGATGCCTGTGGTTTGGGGAGGATGAGTGGTTCCCCCACCCGCTCTGTCCTTCGCTGCCATGTGGCTTAGCTTTGCAGGAGGGGTGCTTGACTGATTGCTCCTGGTTCCCCACTAACAACGAACGGTCCCTTGAAGGAGAGCCCCGCGTGCAAGCCCTTGTGAAGGCAGACTGGAGAGTGCTGTAAGATTGCATCCCCGTCCCCATCCCCTTTGCTCACAGCAGAGCTCACTCCCGGCTTCGCTGGTCGTTGTGTTCTCTTCTAGCCAGAGCGAGGAGAAAAGCACCCGTGCACCCCCAGGATATCGGCACGCCGGAGAGTTACTCTGCTGAGGCCAAGAGCGCACGGGCCTGAAGGCTGTTTGGTTGCCCCGTGCCCTGTCGATGCTAGTCCGGGTGTGGGGTGGGGGAGGTGTCAGTACTCGCCCAGGTGGGCATAGCCAGTCCAATGAACCATGATCTGTGACCCTTCAAGGCTACCACTGAAGCCAGCTTGACACAGTACTGCTGGTACTACTCTCTGTTTGGGCAGCTAGACCTGACCTGCTGCCTCGGACGTGCGGCTCCTTGTGTCTTACAGAAAATCCTGACCATGGTTCCCACCGACGAAGAGAAGCAGAAGATCCAGGAGGCGCAGCTCGCCAATCCTGACGTCCCCCTGGGCTCAGCCGAGCAGTTCCTGCTCACCCTCTCCTCCATTAGCGAGCTCACGGCTCGGCTCCAGCTGTGGGCATTCAAGCTGGACTATGAGAGCATGGAGCAGGTAATGGCACAAACCCAGCCCACTGGCCGTTTCCCCGGCAAACCAGACCATGAACATCCCTGGGTTTGGTAGTGCAGATTCCCCTGGGCAGTCCCCTGGATCTCTGCGCCCCCTGCCGTGCCTGGGGACCCTGTGGCAATTCAGTCCCTGCCTGCTGTTTGCTTTGGATAGGGGCATGGTACAGCCGCGCTCAGCAGCTGTAGGCCAAGGGCCCGGGCCCGCTCTGCAGGGGCCGGCAGCCCAGCCTCCCAGGTGCAGGAATTCCCCTGGCTCGGGTGAGTTCTGCGTCCTTCATGCTGAATCCAAGGTCAGTGAGCCCACGCGGCGCTGTCCCCTGTCCCAGGGCGGGGCGGGACCCGGGCTGGCTGTGGCTAGGTCCCTGGCTCCCCGGCAGAGCAGTGAGTGCGTGCGGGGGCTGGAGCTGGGCGTCGCTGATTTACCAGTCACAGCAGCTGCACCTTTCCCCGTTCAGGAGATCGCGGAGCCTCTGTTTGACCTGAAATTGGGGATGGAACAGCTGGCCAAAAACCAGACCTTCAGGTGTATCCTGGCTACTCTGCTGGCCATGGGGAACGTCCTCAACGGCTCCCAGGTGAGGGGTAGAGGGAGGGACCTGGGGTCTCCTGCAGCTGCCCGCGCAGAGCTCCTGGGGGACGAGGTGGCTGCCAGCCGGGGCTTAGAAAGAGATGCAGAGTCCCCGGGGGGAACGGGGCCGGGCCGCCATCGAAGCTGTGCGCCCAGACCTGCAGCTGTGCGTTAGAGAGCAGGCAATGTGGGGCTAAGGTGCCAAGCTAGGTGGGAAATGCTGGGGGGCGAGGGAGGCTGGCTGCTGAGGGGGCCAGTGCCTAGCAGCAGGGGGACCTGTAGGGTCATGCCCGGTGGGCTGACAGGGCTTAGTGCTGGAGGCTGGTCTGTTGCGTTGCTGCAGAACATACCGAGATCTTGTCAAGTGAAAATCCAGGCAGGGAAGCGTAAGGGAGAGCAGAGCGGAGGATGGAGTCCGCTCAGTCGGACTGGAAGAAACTACTAAGGGGAATGGCTATCTGTGGAATGATGGTGTTAGGGCCCGCCTGGGATTGCGCCAGGTGCTGTACGAACACATTGTGAGAGGCAACCCTGCCCCCAAGAACTCATGGGCTAAACAGACAAGACGTGGGAGGGGAAACTGAGGCAGAGAGGTGACGGCCACGCAGCAGGTTGGCGGCTGTGCTCCCACGTCAGCACTCTGCCCACTGGACTACGCACTGGTGTCCAGGGAGAACAAAGTGGGAGTAGACTGTGTGCAAGGCGGCAGTGCCAAGCTGCGGGTGGTCAGAGCTATCTAGAGCAGCCCCAGCTGAGACGCTGGGCCATAGCTGAGCTGGGCGGAAGGGGGTACAGAGAATGTCCGGAAGGATGGGGGGAGGGGCTAATCGGATCAAATTGCTTCAGCCTCCAGAGGAGCAGATGGCGTAGAAACGGTGCTGGTGCATACCCCTGCCAGGGAGGGCCACGGGCCTGGGATTGCAGCTGTGAAACTCAGCCGGAGCAAGTGGGAGCCTGGTTGGAGAGGCATGGGGCGGAATCAGCTGCTGGGAGAGGGCAGTTGACTCCGGGAAGCGGGGAGGGGTGACCCGCTCTCCCCTGGCTCTGGCTGAGCCTGCGTTTGGGTTTCAGAGCCGGGGCTTCGAGCTCAGTTACCTGGAGAAGGTCTCGGAGGTGAAGGACACCGTGCACCGGCAGTCTCTGCTGCACCACCTGTGCCACTCGGTGGTGGAGAGGTTCCCCCAAACCAGCGACCTCTACTCGGAGATCGCAGCCATCACCCGCTCAGCCAAGGTAAGAGGCGTGTCGGAACCGGCAGATATTCCAGCTCCCCCCCGCTGCCCCCGGCCCCGCGGACCCGGGGAGCGACACCTGAGCCTGGCGAGCTGCGTGGCTTCTGCAGGCCTGGGGGCGGAACACGGGGTCATGTGGGGACGCAGGGCAGCAAGGGGATCCCGAGCGAAGCACGGCCATGGGTGTATCTTCACTCCTTCCTCAGGTTGACTTTGACGAGCTGGCGGAAAGCCTGAGCCAGCTGGAGCGACGGTGCAAAGCATCATGGGACAGCCTGAAGGCCATCGCCAAGCACGAGACCAAACCGGGCCTGAAGAGCAAGCTGATGGATTTCCTGAAGGACAGCTCCCGGAAGATCCACGTTCTGAAGGTGGTGCACAGACGCATACTCCACAGGTCGGTCTGCCTGCTGGGCACGGACCCCCCGGGGCTTGCTATGGCTGCCCTCGTGGGGTGGGGGGGAGAATTTGGCTGGGGGGAAGGGGTGAACGGGGGTGACAGGGTAGAAGGCTGTGGGGGGGAGCATTTGACTGGGGGGAGGGGAAATGTTCCTTATTCCCAGTGGAGTTGAGAGTGTTCCCAGCTCTGCGGGGGCAGGGAACTGGAGTGCGGGGGAGGGCTGGCAGAGGGGGAGGGGGGGAAATCCGGGCTGATTCAAGGACTCCCCCTCCCTTCTGGCAGTGATTGTCAGGGCAGCCTGAGGCGGCTCCAGGTGCAGGAGGGATCATGGGCCCCCCGTGTCCTCCCCTCGCCCCCAGCTGCTCCGTCTCTCGGCAGGTTCCGCTCCTTCCTGCTGTTCCTGGGCTACCCGCCGGCGGCCGCGCGGGACATGAAGGTGACGGGGTTCTGCCGGCTCCTGCGGGAGTTCGCCCTGGAGTACCGCACGTGCCGAGAGCGCGTCCTGCAGCAGCAGCGCAAACGGGCCGCGCACCGCGAGAGGAACAAGACCCGGGGCCGGATGATCACGGAGGTACGGGGCTGCCCTGGGGGCTGGGGGCCTGCTAAGCCCAATGCCTCCCCTTCCCCTCACACTGGCCGTCTCCTCTCTCCGCAGATGGAGAGATTCTCCGGCATGGCCGACAGCCCTGAGTCAAACCCCTCTCCAGCCACGGGGTCGGCCTGCCCAGAGCAGCAGGCGGATGCAGGCCACGAGACCATGAAGAGTGTGTTGAGCTCGGCTGTGGAGCCCCACAGCCGGCGCAGCAGGGCCAGCCGAGGTAGGGGTCCGCGGCCAGCCCGGTGACTGCACTTGCCCCAGGGCGGTGCGGGAGGGCGCGCCGGGCGGCAGCTGGCATCACCCTGACTGCATCTCCATGTGTGGCTCTGCGCAGGCCCCACGCAGCTGGGCGCGTGCTGGGGCCCCGTACTGTACGGAGCAGAGCCCGGCTCTCGCAGCGCACTGGGCTGTGGGCACGGATCCCACCCCACGCAGCTGGGCGCGTGCCAGGGCCCCGTACTGTACGGAGCAGAGCCCGGCTCTCGCAGCGCACTGGGCTGTGGGCACGGATCCCAGCACTGTCTGTGCTGCAGCTGCCCCCGGGCCCTGCTGTATTTGTGGGACCGCTGGCTCATTCCTGCCCATGCCCCAGCGCCTCGGTGCTGGTCTGTGAGCAACCAGGGCCCCCGTAGGCCCCGCGACACGAACTGCCCAAACGCCCCCCTCCGATGGAGGACGTGACACTGGGGGTCCTGCCATCCCGCACCCCCCACACACACCTAGAGGACAGGATGCTGGGGGCCCGGCCGGCCCGGCCCTTCCTCTCTGGGGCCCGAGTCTGGGGTCCTGGCTTGCTGCCCAGCTCAGCGCTGCTGGGCTGCCCCATTCATGGGGCCCCTTGGGATCGGGGAGATGGAGCTCGATTACTGCTGGGCCAGTTCCCTCAGCCTGCAGCGGGGCTCGCTCAGGGGCAGGTGGGGTGCAGCACTGCTCCCCAGCCAGGTACGGCCCCACACCCCATGGGCTCCAGAGCGCTGGCCTGAACTGGGGGACACCACGTGGCCCACTCCCCAGCTGTAGGGCATTTGGGGGGAGCATGGGGTGTGGGAGGGATTGCTGGGGTGCAGAGGAGAAGCTGTTGGACTCTTGGGGATGACAAGCATTCAGCAGTGGTGGGAGGAGGTGCTTGCTGCGGGGTTAGCTGATGGGTTTGGCAGTGGGAGGTGGGTTTGGCAGGGGGGCAGTAGGGCAGCCGCGGGGGGAGGTGGGAGCTGGCAGCTGAGGGATGGGAAGCAGCCGAGTGGCCGTGGCAGCAGGGTGTGGCAGCCGGAGGTGTTGGCTGGGAGGGGGCTGAGCTTGGCAAGGGGACTGGCTGCCGCACACTAGCTGCTCTGGTCCCTCGGCCGACGTTTCTGTGCTCTCCGGGCAGGCGTGGGTCGGTCAAGCCCCTCCAGCGGCTCCGTGCCCCAGGACGACAGCTCCGGCTCCCCGGCCGACGCCTCGGATGAAATCATGGATCGCCTTGTGCAGTCCGTCACCCACAGCGCCGGCCCGCGGCCGGGCGCCGCCAAGGAGCGCAAGAGGTCACGTGTCAGCAGGAAGTCCAGTAAGTGCCATCCCCGGGCAGAGCCTGCCATGGGGCCAGGGCTGAGCCGTGCCATGGCATTGCTGGGCAGGAGGGGCTCTGCCTCTGCCAGCCACGGTGACTGCTGGGAAACTGGCGTCATGGTGTCCGGTCTGACCCGCTGGGCAAGAGAGTCTTCATGTGCAAAGCCTGTGGGAGGCAGAGCCAGGAGCTGTGCAGGCCCTGGTGTGGGCACTGCCCTGGTGCTGCTGCCAGTCCATGGGGGGAGCGGGCAGGGGGCAGACCCCAGGGCTCCCACCATAGCCCCAGCTGGCTGGTGCTGAGGGGCCGCGCAGGCTGGAGACTGTTCCACTCCTGCAGAGCCCGGCGTGGCGGCTGGCCCAGAGCCCGCAGAGCAGGCGTGGGCCCCTCCGGCCTGGTGGCTGGGCTGAGCGTGTGGCCATGTCCCGGTTTGGGTGGGCTCACTGGAGTCTCCCCTGTGGCTGCTCAGAACAGGCGTGATGGCGGGGGCGG